CCCGCCCCTTCCCGGCCCCCTCCAGCCCGCCCCGCAGGCCCCGCCCCTTCCCGGCCCCCTCCAGCCCGCCCCTTCCCGGCCCCCTCCAGCCCGCCCCGCAGGCCCCGCCCCTTCCCGGCCCACGCTCCAGCCCGCCCCCGCAGGAGTAGCCGGGCGGGCCCTCCACCTTCTGCTCTTGGCTAAAGTCGGCCTTCTGCGTGAAGGGGCTTTCGCTCTGGAACCACAAGGTCTGCCACGCCCTGCGGCCACCGCCCTCTGCAGCAGCGGCAGCGTGGTTGGGGGGCAGGGAAGGCCGGCGGCCGGAGACCCGCTTCCGGAGGCAGGGGGCGGGCGGCGGGGAGGGGCGGGCGGCGGGGAGGGGCGGGCGGCGGGGAGGGGCGGGCGGCGGGGGGGGGACACGCACTGTGGGTGCGGAGCCTGCGGCCGATGCTGAAGTGGGGATGCGGGGAGGACTCGCGCACGGAAGCGTCCGGCACCGGGTACTTGGCGGGGCCGGGGGTCTGCAGGTCGGTCACGATGGGTGGGCGTCGTTCCAGCCCTGGCAGGAAGCAAGCTCCGGGCCTGGGGACTCAGCGGGCGCCTCCCCAGCCCTGCCCGCCTCCCCAGACCGGACTGAGGTGGGGGGTAGCCAGGACCCTTACTCACACAGCTCCCTCCGGTTCTGGGCGCAGATAGGCGGGCGCTCCTGGAGGAAGCCCGGTTCCATCCTGAGGCCAGCCTGGAGCTCCTGCACTCTCGGGAGCCACATCTCCCCGGGGGCCCCTGACTGGGGGCCCCACAAGAACACACTAGCCTTGGGCCTACAAGGAAGAGGGGGGAGGGCTATCCACCCAGCCCAAAGGCCGTCCCGTCCGGGCGGCTCCCCCGGCACACCCAGCTCCCGGAGAAGTTACCGGGCTGGCACAAGTGGCCTCTGCCTCAGGGAACCATGAGTCCAGTGCTGGCCTCCACTGATGTAAAAATTCGCCAGGAATTTCACAGCTTTCTGGTCAAAATTCATTGTCAAAGTATCTGGCTCTCTTCTGCAGGGACACCTCAGAGCTCTGTGACCTCATTAGCCAGCCATGGGCAACCCCTGCCTCAATTGCCAGGAACTTCCTTGGGAAGAAACATTGCCCAGCTCTGGAGGGGCTGCTACCGTGGGCCCCTCACAGAGACCCCTCCCCTGCCCAGCCAGGTGGGTCACTCTGGTGTCAGCCTCAGCCCAGGGGACCCCTAGTCTGCCCCAGTGACTTCTGGCTTGGCCTCCTTTACACTCTTCTCCCCTTCGTTATCCCAACCTCTCTCCTCCCCTAGAATCCGGGGTCTCTTGAACGGCCGGGGTCCACTTTAGCAGAGCCTCTACAAAGGACTGAGCTGTGAGGGGTCTATCCAGGATGAGGAGGGGAGGGTGGAGGGACCCAGGAAAACTCCCTGGAGGAGGAGCTCCTGCTGGAAACCCAGCCCTCAGAAAAGCAAAGCAACGGAAGGAGGGTCTGGGTGGACCCTGCTGACCATAGAGGCAGTCTGGGGACTGGAGCTGCCTGGTGGCCCAGGTAGGGCTGAGGTATGGGGGCCTATCTTCTGCTTAGTTGCACAGAGGCTGGAAGATGTCATAGATGAACGGGGCTGCCCAGGCTGCAGCGTGAAGGAATAGCGAGCCCACGTGAGAGAGAGGCCGCTTGAGCTCCAGGGCCCTTGCTGTGCCCTTTGCAACTGACTAGCCTGCTAGCCCCAGGCCTGGTCTTGACCTAATCCATGCCTGCAGGGCCCAGTCAAGAACAGCTCGTCCTCCAGACCTACCCCCACCGAGTCTCTGCAGATCTCTCCCAGCCAGCACCGACCCTGCCTGGCCTCGGGAGGCGCTCCAGATAGATGGAAGGAGGGAGGGACAGAAACTACCTTCAGGAAACACTGGGTTCATGAAGGTGAGGGGCTCACGGCCTGTGCCCCGGGCCCCTTCCTTGGCGCACGGTGTTCTGCAGGGGCAGCTTTCGCCACAAAGCCGCTTTTACTGGACATTTGAGATACTCTGATGGCTGACCTCACACAGACGTTCTCAGCCACCTGTCCGGGGGTTCCTGTGCGCAGGTTCCTGTGAGCAAAAGCAGCCCATCCAAGTAGGTAACATTCGGTGAGGACTTGACCCGCATCCCCTCGCTGCTTTCCGGACAGCGCCCGTGGCCTTGCTGGAGGGAGCATCGCGCACCCCTGCTATCAGCGCTGGTGTGAGGTTCGACCTTGGGCCTGTTTCCTGACTGTGGGTTCTTTCGTTAAGATGTCCACATTCCATGTTCCTACCCCAGTGTTGATTTTTCTTGTTTTTGTGAGGTTTTTACACTGATAGCATATCTCAGCCTAAACTTGTTGCAATTTTTTTTCCCCACTTGTAGTCCGCTTTTTCGCAGTTTTTTGTGTTTTCTGACACGTACTAGAATTTGCTCGCCTTTTCCTTTGATATTTTCCTTTGTTTTTATAGTTAACACATCCCTATACAAAAAAATAAAATCAGTTATCGTTTAAAGTAGGAAAAAATACCCACTTCCAGGGGAAAGACTCCAGAACAGAGTTCCAAGAGCCCTGAGGCACAGACACCTGCCCTGAGCCCTCCCACGATGCCCAAGAAGATTTCCAGGGCCTCTGATCTGAGGAGCATGCTTGGGAGTGGGTAGCAAGAGTCCAGGCCCAATCCCATCCTACCCTTCCCGGCAGGGCTGTCCCCAATTCTCCGAGCTCCCCGGGGTCCTGAGGCTGACCCTCCCAGCCTGTTACCTGTCTGGGCCTCGGAGTTCCACCGGTAACGTGGGAGCACTCACAGGGTTAAGGAACGCTCCTGGACCAGGTAGGGCCCAACAATGGCAGGCCCCTTCACAATGGTTTCCAGGCAACAGGTTTCCCTTCTCTGAGCAAAGGGGGTCAGACGTGGAAAGGGGCAGGAGCCAAAGGCACTGTTGAGGCAAGATGGCAGCTACTCAGAAACACAACCTCTTCACGCCAGAACCTCACTACATCCCTGGGTGAGTGCTGGAGGAGGCGGGGGGTCTGCGGAGGGCAGGGGAGTGGGACTGGGGCCACAAGGCTCAAGGCCACCTGTGAAGAGAGCACCAAAGCTAGTGTCTGGGGAGAGGGGATGAGGCCCGAGGGCCCCGGAGAGGCCCCGGGCAGGGCTGCCGAGGCCCCTGCCTCCCCTCCCTGCTGGCCCTGTCCTGAGAGCCCCACCAGATGTGCCACATGCCTGTGAGGAGCGGGACACCAGGGACAGCCCAACAGTTGGCGGAGGCTGGCTGCATTCACCCCGGATACCACCTGGAGTGCTGCGTGTCTTAGAGACACAAAGCTCCGGACAAGCTGATTGGCGGGACGCTAGGCCACCCCACTAGGGGCCCTAACGTGGAAGCAAAGAGGGAGCCCCCCATGGCGTATCATGCGTGCTTCTCCGTGCAAGCGGCTCCCTGGGAAGGAAGGGCGGCTGCAAGGAGTCAGGCCCCACTTTTCTCAGTGGTTCTAGGGGAAACGCTGGGCCAGGCGACAAAGGACGGGCTCTCACCCTCTGGGCTCTAGCCCTGCTTAGCTCTCCCACTAGCAATTCTGCGTTCACTCTGGCAGTTTTTTCAAAACCACTCGCTCTACTGGGGTGATCATACCGGCCCCAGGGCTCACCCCCTTTGGGGCCTGCACAGTGATCCCCCACTACTTCCCCTTGTATCTCTAAATGATACTCATCTCAATGGTCACCTCCTCCCAGCAGCCCTCCTGCCTGCCTCTCAATTCCTGAGCAAAAGTCTCTGCCAAATCCCTGCAACGCTTCCCCAGTGGGACCACCTTGTGTAGACTGGGCTGTGCCTCGGTCCAGGCCCGGACCCTGTCACTTCCCTGGGAATGCGTTGAGGGGGCGGAGTTCCCTGTTCCCTCCTTCTTCAGCTCCTGGCTTGAGAAGGGCCAGGCGGAGGGTAGATGGCAACCTGATGGCAAGGAGGACAGTGCATCTCACCTGCGGGCCCGGCCTCCTCTCGGTGCTTGGTCTATGCCACCCATCCATGCCTCAGGAGCCTCAGAAGCCCGGTGCTCCAGGGACTGCCATTGCGCGGTTTCCCCGGTCGGGCGGCTCTGCCCCTGCCTGGGGGCCGGCTCCACACCCTGTGCACGGGGGCCTGCCTCCCCCTCCTCTTCCCTCTGCAGCTACGCGGGGTTCTATCCGCAGCTGCGCTATCAGGTGGGGAACACCTACGGGCGCACCACAGCACAGCTGCTCACAGACCCCAGCGTGCAGAAGAGCCCCTGCTCCGTGCTGTCCCCCATATCCAAGCCCAAGTTCATCGAGGACTTCAGCAAGCCCAAGCCACCTTGGATACCCTGCCGGGACCTGACTGAGCCCTATGTCCCCCACTACACCGGTGAGCTGCCCGCCCACCAGTCCTGCCGGCCCCAGGCTCGGCCTCCTGTCTGTTGTCACTCATACCCACCCTGTCCGCACAGGTCTGAAGCCCTACAAGAACTTTGAGATCCTGGGCCGGTTCCCACCCCAGGAGGGGAAGGCCCAGAAGGGGCCGCAGGGGGTAGAGAGCATATCCAGGCAGGTCCTGCTGCCTGCGGGCTTCATGCCCTATGCCCCCTACCCCCCATGCCCGCCAGGCAGGAAGGGGGGCTCCAGAGACTTTGGACACCCAGGCCTCCGGCTGGCATATGGAGAGGAGGCCTGGAAGAGCACCACCCCCGTCCACGAGGCCCCTGGGCGGGACCAGGTAACTGGGAAAGGTGCGGGACCAAGCCTCATTCAGCTAGACCCAGCTGGGGGCTGAGGCAGTGACTGGCTCTCCTCCGGCCCTAGCTGCACCACTGCAGGAGGGATGAATACCCACCCCCTGCTCAGCAGCAGGAGACCCTAGACGTGGGCAGGTTCCACACGCTGCCACAGCTCGACCACCCCAACCTGATCCAACGCAAAGCCATCTCAGGTCGGTGCCCGGGAACTGGGTATGAGCATGCGCACTGCTCCCTGCTTCCCAAGCACTCCAAGACTCCAGAGGCCCAGGCACCAGGAGAGTGAGGGCGAGTGAGAACTGCCTGGGGGTCTACCCCAGCCCTGAGAACAGTTTCTTAGCAAGGCCGGAAGCCCCTGGCCACCCGTGGCCGCCTGGCCCCAAGAGGCAACTGATGACGTTTAGGGAAGGACAGGCGTCCCTGGCACACGTGGGAGCAGGTGGGTGTGCCCCAGGGAAGGCAGGCAGGAGCCGGGGCAGCACCCTGACCACCCCCTCCCCTAGGTTATGCTGGCTTTGTCCCCCGGTTTGCCTGGGTGATGGGGGTGAACTACCGTGACGGTGTCGCACAGGCCATGGAGGAGTTCAGCAAGAACCAGGTATGAGGCCGCCACCCCCAGCCCGTTCCCCAGTGCCCAGCCCGGCCCACACTGTGGCATCCACTCCTCAGGGCAGGCAGGAGCAGGGCCAAGGCTCACCTGGCTTCCCTAGAGGGGGCTGTGAAGGGCAGCCCCCCTGAGGGGCCCTGGGGAGGAGGCTGCTTCTCCTCTGCATCTGCCTCCTCCACACGCGCGTCTAGGCTTCCTGCTCCGGAGCACGATGGGGAGCGGGTAAGACAGAAGGGGCCCCTGAGCCGTAAGAACCCAGCCCCACAGCCCCCCCGACCCCCTGCGCCCCCGTGAGCTTCTGTTTACTGGTTATGAGCCAGGAAAGGCCGTACGTGTCAGCAGCTGCCTGTTTCCGCAGTTCCTGTTCAGAAACCCCATCTGTGCCCTGGGGGAGCGGCTGCCCCAAACACACCCGCCTGGCCACACCATCTACAGCAGCCAGGGCCTGGTCCCCTTCTACATGGGCTTCGTACCATGTGAGTGCGCAGCGGGCTCCTCACCTACCTCCTCGGCAAGGCTGCAGTGACCAGGCCACTCTAGGACGAGCTGGATGACCGCCCCCCCCCCCCGCCCCTGCTGTACCACTGGCACAGGGCCAGCTAGTTGTATGGCCCCAGGGTTCCCACCCGTCCGCTCATCCCCAGTGTAGAAGGGGCTCACCTCTCCCTGAACCCAAAAGCCACAGGCACACAGAGGCCAGCTATGTCCAGACCACGCTGGCCCTCCAGAGGTCCAGTGTGCACAGGCCAGGTGGGCAGGAGGCAAGTGCCCAGGGCAGCTGGAGCCTGGGTGCACGGCAAGGCCCGGGGCTCAGCGGCAGCCTTGCCCCCGCCCACAGCCACGCAGGACAACTACGCGCTGACGTTCGGCAATAGCACCCGCAAGGCCTATCGGAAGGAACTGGAGAGGCGACACCAGACACTATGAAAATGCTTTAATGGTGGCGTCTGGACAGCAATGTGACGTCAAGACAGGAAGGAGAGCAAGTGCACACAGAGAACAGGTTGTGAGTGAATAAAGCGTTCACACCGCTTCCACGCGCTTCACCAGGTAACAGCTCTAGGCCACCTCCTCCTCGGCCTCCTCCTCGAACTCGCCCTCCTCCTCGGCCGTGGCGTCCTGGTACTGCTGGTACTCGGACACCAGGTCGTTCATGTTGCTCTCGGCCTCGGTGAACTCCATCTCGTCCATGCCCTCGCCCGTGTACCAGTGCAGGAAGGCTTTGCGCCGGAACATGGCGGTGAACTGCTCCGAGATGCGTTTGAACAGCTCCTGGATGGCCGTGCTGTTGCCGATGAAGGTGGCCGACATCTTGAGCCCCCGGGGCGGGATGTCGCACACGGCCGTCTTCACGTTGTTGGGGATCCACTCGACAAAGTAGCTGCTGTTCTTGTTCTGCACGTTCAGCATCTGCTCATCCACCTCTTTCATGGACATGCGGCCCCTAAATACTGCGGCCACGGTCAGGTAGCGGCCATGGCGGGGGTCGCAGGCGGCCATCATGTTCTTGGCGTCGAACATCTGCTGGGTGAGCTCGGGCACCGTCAGGGCCCGGTACTGCTGGCTGCCGCGGCTGGTGAGCGGCGCGAAGCCGGGCATGAAGAAGTGCAGGCGGGGGAAGGGCACCATGTTCACAGCCAGCTTGCGCAGGTCGGCGTTGAGCTGGCCCGGGAAGCGCAGGCAGGTGGTGACGCCGCTCATGGTGGCCGACACCAGGTGGTTGAGGTCCCCATAGGTGGGTGTGGTCAGTTTGAGGGTGCGGAAGCAGATGTCATAGAGGGCCTCGTTATCAATGCAGTAGGTTTCATCTGTGTTTTCTACAAGTTGGTGGACCGAAAGGGTGGCGTTGTAAGGCTCCACCACCGTGTCCGACACCTTGGGCGAGGGCACCACACTGAACGTGTTCATGATCCTGTCTGGGTACTCCTCCCGGATCTTGCTGATGAGGAGGGTACCCATCCCAGACCCAGTCCCCCCACCCAGGGAGTGGGTCAGCTGGAAGCCCTGCAGGCAGTCACAGCTCTCAGCTTCCTTCCTCACAACATCCAACACCGAGTCGACCAGCTCCGCGCCTTCCGTGTAGTGCCCCTTGGCCCAGTTGTTCCCAGCACCGCTCTGACCTGGAAGAGGGCAGCGAGTCACTCTCTGCTGGGCACGCGGCCACCACTGGCTACCCGTGCCAAAAAGCCCAAGTAACGTAGCACAAGGGACACACACAGCTCAGCCGCAGGCAGACCGAGGGGTCCCCCCCACGCGGATGAAGCGGTAACCCGCCCGTCTGAAACTTAAGCTAGGGGTCAAACAAGACGGCCCCCCAAAGGCAGCCCCTGCCAATTCTCAAGGACAGAGGAGCGGCAAGCACAGCTTCCCGCTGCCGCCACCTCCGTGTCTGCAGCAGACAACGCGCGCCCCTTGGCCCTGCTGGGGGACAGCTGGGCCTCCCTCCCAAAGCGGCTTTAGGAGATTGAGCGGTTCAGGGAGAAGAGGTGTCCGGGAGCGTGAGCTTCTGCCTGGGGAGGTCAAAGTGGATCAGCACCTCAGCTCTGCGCTGCTGACGGCGCTGACCTTGGGCACCCCTTGACCTCTGGGCCGCCCCGCCTGTCGGGCAGCGCCCAGCCCCCACCCCGAGGCTCACCGAAAACGAAGTTGTCTGGCCTGAAGATTTGCCCGAAGGGTCCCGAGCGCACGGAGTCCATGGTGCCCGGCTCCAGGTCCACGAGCACAGCGCGGGGCACGTACTTGCCGCCTGGGGCGGGTGGGGGAAGGGGGGAAGAGAACGTCAGCGGGGCCAGGGCCGCGGGAAGGCAGGAAGGCGCCGGGGAAGGGGCGTGGTGTCTCACCGGTGGCCTCGTTGTAGTACACATTGATCCGCTCCAGCTGCAGATCGCTGTCGCCATGGTAAGTGCCGGTAGGATCGATGCCGTGCTCGTCGCTGATCACCTCCCAGAACTGCAAGGGACGCGGGCGGGCCGGGCCCGGGCTGAGTCACGCCGGCGGGGCTCCGAGCCGGCCCCGCCCCGGATGGGCGCGGCCCTCCCCTCCCCCCACGCCGCCGCCGTCGCCGCCGCCGCCAGGGCCGGTCCGTCCCCGGGCGCCCGCGCCGCAGCTCCCGCTCCGACCCCGCGCCGGGCCGCAATGCGGGTGCGTGGCCGGCCGGCCACCGCCCGCCCACCCTCCCGCCCGCTGCCGCCATCTTTCCTGCCGCCCACCCGCCCGCCCGGGACAGTCGCGCCAGGTCCCAGGCGCCCCATTGCCCACCTTGGCGCCGATCTGGTTGCCGCACTGGCCGGCCTGCAGGTGCACGATCTCCCTCATGGCGGCGGCGGCGGCGGCGGCGCTGGCGGAAGGACAGACGCGAGACCCAAGGAACGGGCGCGCAGAGTGCTACAACCGACGCTCCGCCAACGCTTATATATCCGCAACGCCCGCCCCCGCCAGCCTTCTATTGGGCTGCCAGGACGAGGCTGGCAAGCGTCCTGGTCTGATTGGCTGAATTTACCGTCAATCCTGCCGCCTAACGCCCACCTTCCCAACGCCGTTCGCTTCTTATTGGTCCGCTTCGGCCTCCGTTCTCCCTATCAAAACCCCCTTCCTCGCGCTGCAGCGCTCTGTCCATTGGCTGTTTCAAATGATTGATTTGCGCTTTCATTGGCTGGCTCTGGAGAGCACGCTGACCGAGGGCCGGCGTCCTGGTAACCGCCGCAGTGCCGCGGGGACGCGCGCGGGCAGGGCGGGGCGGGCCTCCCGGGGAGGTGTGGGGGGGCGGCTGGGTCGAGGGGTGGGGGGTGCGCTGCTCCGGGTCTGCGCCCTGACAAATGCAGGCGGGACGGGGTGCTCACGCGAGCTGGAGACTCTGCAGCCCCGGCCCGCCGAGCGCCTTCCCCGGGTGGCTGCCCGGGTCCCGAGTGCACGGAACGTGGGGTCGGGCCCACCCCGCGGGGGCTCGGTGCGGAGGAGGGGGCGGGCGGCGGGGTCCCGGGGGGGGCCCCCTGCTGCCCCCTCGGTCCGCACGCCCGCCCGCCGCGGGGGCGGTCAGGTGAGGGAGCACTTGGGGTCGCTGCCCCCTGGGCCCCGGGAGGGCGGGGAGGGGCGGGGGCCTCCCGGCAGCCGCGCGCTTGTTGTGGCGACGGCGCTGGCCGCGCGCCGGTCGCCTGGTGCCCCGGGAGCGCCCCGAGCCGCGTGGGGACGCGCCCCCGGCCTCCGGCCCCTGTGCCTGCCCCGCGGCCGTCCTGCGCCTACAAATGCCTTTTTCGCTGATGCGGGCGGGGGTCTGGGAAGGGACGCGGCTCCGCGGCCTGCGGTCGCACGTCCAGTCCGCCGCTTCCGAGACTGCCCCGTGCGTTTCTGTCACGCCCTTGCATCTGCCGGGAGCGACGTCCCTTGCTGCGCCCACTGCAATCTCAGCAGAGTCCAGTTTTCTCAGCTTCTTGCCCCGGTGGTGGTGGGGGCAGTGCTTGGGTGCCCTCTCTGGGTCCTGCCCTCCCCTCCGTGCTGCGGCGGGAGCGCTCAGTGCGGTGTGAAGGCGCGTTACCCGCCCAGCGCAGGGTCAGGACGGAGTCGGTGCACCGGGCGTGCGTCCCCGGGAGAGGGGTCTGGCGCGCGGCTCCGGGACTGCAGTGCTGGCCGCCGCGGTGAGTCAGCAGGGCCTTAGGGGGCCGGTCCCCTCCCTCCCACACCTGTGTGGGAACGTGGGGTCTTCCCCGGCCGGCAGGTGCACAGGCATCCTAGGATGGTTTCCTCCCCGCGCCCGCAAAGTGGCTGAGCTGGCCAAGCAGCCCCCGGCAGGGCAGGGCTCCGCTCTGCGGCGGTCGTAAATCACAGATCAGCGGGGTGAGCGGGAGAAGCTCCATGTTTCCCCAGTGCGTCGATGAGGTGTTTGTCGAAGGCTTCTTGGCTCACCCACTACCCCAGGCTGTGTGGCCACAGGTCCCCACTTTCTGCCCAGGTGTGAGCCCAAGAGCTCTGAGACACCAGGTTGTCCACCTTGACCCTCCCATGGCCTCAGGGACCTGGACGGTGAGAACAAGAACACAGAAGTCTCCCTGCGGCCCTCAGGCGTGAGCCCAAGGAGCACAGTGGCTGTGGCTGCACAGGGCTGGTGGGGGAAGGCCCTGCAGACCCCTACCCTGAGCAGGGGTGCTCCTGCCACAGTGTGGGCCCTGGACCTGCATAGGGCAGGAGGGCCAGCCCCAGCGGCCTGGGCCCAGTGAGGGTCTGTGACCAGGAGGGATGCAGGGCAGAAAGGGCCAGACATGCAGGGAAGCCCAAGCTGGGGCCATGGGAGTGCTGGGCACCTGGCCCTCCCGCCCCGGCCTGCAGCTGTTGGCGGTTTCCACAAACGGAGGCTCTGTTTACTGGTGGCCATGGTCCCAGCGGGAGGGTGCCTTACCGCCAGGCAGGGGCAGCAGGCAGATAGTCATTCTCGGCCTCAAAGGACCCGCAGTCAGCCTTTGTGGGCGGCCTCACCCGCCCCGGAAGGAGGGGTGCATGGGGTACTTTCTTCTCCTCCCTCTGTGTCTCCACTGTAGGGAGGGAAAGCTCCCCACCAGTCTCCCCAAGGAACTAGCCAGGCCCAGCCCCACTTCAGGGAACTGCCATCCGTGGGACCAGGAGACTGATGTATCCCCCCACTCCACCCCGGGGAATGTCCTGAGGTCATAGAAGTCGGTTTGCGGGGCGGGAAGGGGGGGCGCGCAAGCTGGAGTGTATGAGCCTGCCCCTGGGTCTTGCTCCTATGAGCCCCAAACAGGTAGCTAACTCCCTTGGTAGTCGGGCAGGAAACCCCACACTTAGGAGTCCTGGAAACTTACTGGGGGAGGACAGGAGACATGGAAAGTGAACGGACTGAGAGGACCTGGGGGACATAGGGGATTTGAGGGGACTGAGGACTGGGAGTTCTGAGGGGAATGAAGACAGGACTGTGGACAAGCATCCCAGGGCTCCCCAGGCCTCCTCTCCCCACACTGGGTCTGGGTGGGCAAACCTGGAGGGCTGGGAGGAGGTGCCCCTCCGTCAGGGCAGCATTCCCTGGACGAGGAGAAGGTGACTGCCCACAGCAGCATACTAAGAAGTGGGGCCAGCTGAACCTGGGTTCAGGGTTCCCTCCACCTCTGGTCTGTGGGGGTGTGCCCCTCACTGCGGGCGTTCTGGGGTTCTGGGCCGTAGACTTAATCCTACTGGAGAAGCGTCTCTCCTTATGTTATTCTGGGGGAGACTTGTGGGAAGGTCTGGGCTGGGATGGGGGGACGCCCAGACCGCTTCCAGGAGTTTCCTTACCGGCCGGCCGGCAGATAAGCCTTACCAGCAGAGGGAGGAGCAGGGGATGGGTAGGAGTCCCCGTGGGGAACATCCCCTCAGGTGGGGAGACAGCACTCAGGCTCACCGTCCCTCACCTGACCTCCTCTTGTCTCACGGCCGAAGGATTTGGGGGCATGGTGGTCTGGGACCTGGGTGGGGGCAGCTCTAGGGCTGCGCAGGACCCAGTTCCTGGTGGATCCTGCTGCGGGGGGGGGCACTGAGAACCGGCTCTGCTGGGCCTGTGGCAGCCCTCCAGCGGCGTCTCACCCGGACTTGCCCTGTGCCCTGCCCATGGTGGGGGGGCAGTATGGCGGGGGAGCCTGGGGCCTCCTGGTCCTCACTCATCCCCCTCACCCCTGGGGCACCTGTGGGACCCGTGAGGCTGGCCCCCAGAGGGACTACCAGCACCACCTGGCTCCGAAGGTGCGTCCTCTGTGGCTGGGCGGGAGGATCCGGGCCGCATCCGACCGCAGACTCTTCCTGAGGGATGTCATCGCGCACCAGAGTGGCTGCCTCTTGGCACCTTCTGTCCCCAGGGGCTCAGGAGAGAAAGCAGAGTGACAGCTTGGGATTCCAGGCTTAGCTGTGTGCCCACACCACCGGGGCTTGCAGCGGCCCCTGAGTGTTCCCGGGGGCGGGGGGGGGGGGACAGCAGGCACTTGTCCACCTCCGGTTCGCTTCAGAGGCTGGTCAGGGGCCCTCTGCAGGCAGGAGAGTGAAGACCACTCGCACCTGGTCCAAGCCTTGTTTATTTGCAAGGAAGGCAAGCCAGGTGACTCCGAAGTCGTCAGCTACCGGGACCCCCCAGGGCACCCTCTCTTCACAACTGCTGGGAGGCCAGGACCTCGGGGTTCTGGTAGCAGTGGGCCTCCTTGGCAGCGGCGGGGGGCGGACTGCACAGCCTGCAGGGGCAGCAGCGGCTGACCAGGCGGTCCCAGGGCTCCAGGGAGCGGAGCCAGCGTGGGAGCCAGGCCCAGGAGCGCAGGCGGCGGGGCAGCCAGGCGGGCCGGTGCTGCTGCAGGACGTTAATCAGGACAATGAGGAGCACCAGCCCCACCAGGGGTCCCCCCACGGCAGCCAGCACCGTGCTCCCTGCCAGGGAGAGCCCAAAGGCGGCCAGAGGCAGCAGCAGGAAGCTGAGCAGCAAGTAGGCAACGGCCACCCAGCGGTAGGTGGCCGTCAGGTCCCCAAAGCGCTTGGCCAACGGGATGGGCAGCCGCAGGACAGGCACCACGTACCACAGCAGGATGCCAGCCAGGTTGAAGAAGAAGTGGATGAGGGCCACCTGGAGGTCCAGAGGGCAGGCGGGGCTCAGGAGCCTGGGGCCCATGGCACGCAGGTCCCCTGGAGGCTACCCAAGACCCCTGCTCCTCCTCCCCACCCCCCACCCCAGCCAGAGGGTGCTAAGTCTGAAGCCTGTTGGAGGTCTGCTTGTTGGCCTCGACGGGCTGCCTCGGAGGGTAGAATCCCACCAGACATGGGTATGCCTTCCAGTTCCGCCCCACTCCCCCCAGCACACCTAGCGTTTGGGAGCCCAGTTTAGCCTTCTAGTGGGGGAAGCACATCACTAATGACGGCATCTGCTCCTCTCCTGGGCCGGCTTAGCTTGCCTGCATCTCATGCCTAGTGCCCCCGCTCCTGCTTATCCATGAGTGGGCTTGGCCACCCAGCCCAGGGCTCTGGCCGGGCTCCTGTGGGGAGGAGGTGCAGGGCCACACGTGCAGGGAACAGAGCTCCTGCCAGGGGCTGCCGGCCTTGAGGAGTCAGTGTGGAAGGTGCACCAGAGGGCTTCCTGGAGGGGGTGGACCAGGGCCCTGCACCAAGATGGTCTGAGTGGACAGAGCAGAAGCAAAAATGCAGGAGGATGGTAGGAAGGGCTTGTGGGCAGAAGCCCAGCAGGATCTGGACCTTCAGGAGCTGCCCCTCCCGGAGCACCTAGCCAGAGGCTTGAGAAACTCAAGCCAGGGTAGCAGACCACCAAAAGAGCAACTTAGGGAATTAGCAGGGCTAAGGGGACTGGGCGTGGGGCACAGAGCTAGGGGACCAGAGGGAGGCATCCTGGAGGCAGAACTGTGGCCGTGGGCAAGGGCAGCTTGGGGGCCCCAGCACAGGTGAGGCGGAACTTCGGCCAGAATACGGCAGGCCGTCCCCGTAGGGACCTGTTGGGTTTACATGGCTGTTGGGGGCGGGGGGGGGGGGAGTTCATCCCAGAGTTGGTGGACTCGAGGGCCTTGAGGCCCTCCAGGACCAGGATGCCTTGAAGGAACTCAGCCAGCAGCCCGGGCTGGAGGTGAAGGACAAGGGTTCCTCGAGCGAGTTTGGACAGGGGCTGCCAGAAAGGAGGATCAGACAGCAGCCCAAGGCCAGAGGATCCTTGGAATGATCTGGTCCCAGGGGAGGAAGCGTGGGGCTGGAGGTCCAAGAGACGTCCACAGGGTCCCTAGGGTTCGCGGAGGCTGTAGGTCTGATCAAGCAGCCAGAGGCGGGTCCCAGGAAAGTTGGGGCCAGGGCCAAGATGCACGAGGGCTGGACAGGAGGGAACTGAGCCCGAGGGGAAGCTCCAGACCTGGGGTGGGGGTGGGAGGGGCTGGGGGGCTGGGGAGAGGCGAGGGAGGGCGGTACCTGGAGGGCACTGAGCAGCATGTCCGCGGGGCTGGCCAGGGCGGCCAGCAGGGCTGTGGTGGTCGTGCCGATGTTGGAGCCCAGGAAGAGAGGGTACGCCCGCTCCAGGCTGATCACCCCGACCCCTGGGGGAGCCAGGAGTCAGCGCTGGCGCTGGGCCCTCACCCCTGTGGCCCTGGGCCTGTCCCCTGTGCTCACCCATGAGCGGTACGATGGCTGCGGTGAAGACGCTGCTGCTCTGGAGCATGAAGGTCAGGCCGGTGCCCACGAGGATGGCCAGGTAGCCGCTGAGCCAGCCGAACGGGAAGGGGATGTCTGCGGGGGGTGGGGGTGTCATTGTCTACCCGACCTCCCTCCCCCCACCCCGCCCACATCCCCATGTCCCCAGTCTGGCCGCACCCGCGTTGATGACCTTCCTCACGGCCTGGGCCACACGGCCGCGCAGCACGGAATTGAGCAGCTTGACGATGAGCACGAGGCAGGTGCAGAGCAGGAGGAGGGAGGCGGCCAGCAAGATGAAGCCCACGGCCAGGTCTGTGAGTGCAGTCCCCACGAACAGGTGGTGGCCTGGGGTCAGGGCGGGGGTCCGTGAGCCTAGGCCAGCTTTGGGGCAGGCAGGGCAGGGAGGGGGCTGGGGCCCTGAGGCTGGGGGCAGGGCATGGGGGGGGCGGGGGGGGGGGGGGGGGGGGGGCCTCACAGGGCAGCTGCTCCACCACCACAGAGCTATTGCTCTCAGGACAGGGGCCGGAGGCAGTGGGTCCACAGTCGCTGCTGTTCCCTGAAATCTGGGGAGGTGACGCAGGGCAGGCTCAGCGCCTGGGGCCCCAAGTGACCAGCAGGGTGGGTTGGGGTCCCAGGTGCTCACCGTCAGCTCCCTGGTACCGCACCATCGCTTGATGATGCTGCCGTTGGTGGCGTTGCCTGTGGCACTGCTTGTGATCATATCAGTGTCCAGCTGGGGGACAGAGAAGCTGTGACCACATACTGGATCCTCAGGGCTCTCCTGGGCCTCAGGCGCCCCTGGCCCAGCCCACTATGCACCCCAGGGAGGACCCAGGATGGTGCCAGGGCACCGCGTCCCCTAGCCCGGACCCCGAGGCCGCAGCCACCCTCACCTGCACAATGAGGTGTGTGAGAGGCTTTGTTAGCACCTTGAGGATGTCGGGGGCCTGCCCCCCGGGCTGCAGGCTGCCTGTGCCCAGAGCCAGCCCGCTGAGCCTCTCCAGCAGGGCCGTGGCGCTCTCCAGCGGCAGCAGGATCAGCACCGTGAGCCAGTTGAAGATGCCGTGGACGGCCGAGCCTCCGAAGGCCCTGCCGCACGGAGCAGAGTGGTCGGTGGCCTCAGCCGTGGCCTGGACGGCAGCCCCTGGCCCTCCCCTCCCTCCACTCACCTCCGAAACTCATCCGGGTCCCCTGACTGTGCCATCGAGACGAGGGTGCTAGTGATGGACGTGCCCACGTTGACGCCCATGATGATGGGCACGCATGCCTGGACGGTCAGCACTGTGGGGGGGCTGCATCAGCCTCCCACACTCTGCCCGCCCGCCACCAGCCCGAGGTGGGGGCAGGGGAGGCACTCACATTTGGAAGCCACCATGCTGACCACGATGGAGGAGGACGTGCTGGAGCTCTGGACCAGCACTGTGACCAGCACGCCAATGACCAGTCCTGCCACGGGGTTGGACAGCACCACGTTGCCCTTAAAGATGTCTCCGGCTATTCTGCCTGTGTCCGGACAGAGGTGCGCTGAGGCTGTGCCCAACTGGCTGCCCGCCCCACCCCCAGACCCCCGGTCACTCACTGCTCAGCAGCTGGAAGGCTGAGCTGAGGATGTCCAGGGAGCAGATGAAAAGATAAAGGTTGCCCAGGAGCCCACAAGCCTTGAGAAAGCCGACGACCACGCGGAGCACCCTTCCGGCCACGCTGAGCTCTGAGGACACAGGACAGGCTGTCCTCAGCCGGCCCCCACCCAGCCCTGCCCTCCCTGGCACCCCTCCCGCTCCCCTTCCTTTGTCTTCTTCCAGGGCAGGGCCTGGTTCTGCCTCCTTGCTCCTCAAGGCAGGGTCTGTTCCTTTGCACAACGGCCAAACCGACTGCCCCTGGGACCCCCCAGAAACCTAACGGTCATTAGGAGGGAGAAGGAGGGGCCGGCTGGGCAGGAGTGACTCTCATCTCTGGACACGACAGACAGCCAAGCTGGGGAACAAGCATCCCTGGGGTGATGGCCTGCACGGTAGGTTTCTATACAGCCTGTCGAGGCAAACCTCTGTCCTGCTCTCTCTCCCCGAAGACCCTCTCCACGCTCAGACCCTGGGGAGGCAGAGCCCCATTTGGCCAGTTCCCCAGCACCTACCTTTCCAGGACTGGCCAGTGTCCTTCAGCTGAGGGAGGGCCCAGGGGTCCACCTCCCCCTCTTCCAAGACTGGAGCCGAACCGGAGGTCCCTGCAGGAGCCAAGGGGAAGCAGGGCCAAGGATACTCCCGGGGACCGGGGTGGGCAAGAGGGTGTGGAGGGGACTATGGTGTCAGGGTCCGGGGCAAGAAGCAGGAACAGCAGAGGGAGGGGGGCCTCCAGCTAGTCTGGCCCTGACCGGAACTGTCAGGAGCCCCGTGGACTCTGCGGGAGATGAGCTCCCGGGACCCCCTCCCCACTCACACAGAACGACGGATCAGGGCTGGTTGGGTGTCGGGGAGGCAGGCTGAGGCCTGACGTCCTGGGACTCCTGGTACCTGCATTTCCTAGACTCCGGTCCACCAGGCCAACTGTGTCCAGAGTGAGGGGGGCGACCTGGCCACCCGCGAGGGACTTCGGCATGGATATCTGGCAGGGACAGACCCAGGCCCAAGCCTGGATCTGGTGGGGGGAAAGGCAGGTCAGACATGTGTCCTCCCCTTGTCCCACCAGGTCCTCCTGGGGTCCTCTAACCTGGGACCTGTCCTCCCCTCCGCACCCCCGCTGGCCTTGGAGACTTCCCACTTCCTCCAGCTACAGGGGGATGGCTACAGTGACCTCCAGCAGTTGTCAGGCGAGCCCAGTCCAGTTTCGGGGGCAGAGTCGAGGGGGCCCTGGCTTCCCGGATCCCTCGCTGGTCCTGGCTGGAAGAACACTTGGTGGGTGGCCCAGGGCACAGGGTGCCGGGTGCCGGAAGTGCCTGGGAACAGGGAACCCAGTGATCTTCCTATCAAGTGTCATCAGGGACACCGCAGATGGTCCTAGCTTAGACTTTGGCATTTGATACCGAACGGTGACGTCTCGGCTTGATAAGGGCCGCACCCCCAGGGATGGGGGCAGGGCAAGGGGCTTGAGTGCCCCCAAGGCTCCTCTCTTCAACCCTCTGGGTCTGGACCCACTGTCTAGTCTTCTGCCCCAACTCCCTTCCAGGCCCCAGGGACCAGGTCCTGGGCAGCCTTCTGTCACCCCTCCCTCCTCTTTCGTCCTCAGCTCAGGAGGCTCAGGGTGGGGCCTAAGCCCTGGGCTAGGAGGTCACCCAGCCCTTGTCTTGGCGTCCCCGGGCCCCCACCTGGTTCTAGAAGCTCCTACCTGTGAGGGTAGTGAGGGGGCACCTGCGGGGAGGAGACACAGGGCAGGAGCAACGGCCGGTCAAAGATCTGCTGGGCGCACACATGACCTGCTGTGTACCGAGCCCCATTAATGTTTACCCAGGACTCGAGGCCCCAAAGGGGTACCTGTCGTAGCCCCAGGTGCCTGCCTTGTCTTGGTTCCACTATCACCCTGGAGCAGGTGGTCCAGACCCCCAGCCCAGCCCTCTTAGAGTGGGGCTTCTCCCTGGCTGGGCTCTGCGCCAGCCCAGGGCTGTTGCAGGGGTGGGTACGGGCTCATGAGCAGACACAGATGGGAAGTGACTGGACCCTGTATGCTGCCCGCCCGGGGTAGCATAGGATGCTGGTGTTCTGGCTGGTTGGCCTGGAGGCCCCTGGGGAAGTCCCTCCCAAGCTCTGCGGGCTTTACTGTGCTCGCCCCTACCCCATCCAACCGCGGGAGTGAAGCCCTTTGCACCAGGTGGGTGGGGAGGGCCCCAGTCCCTGAAGTCACCTAGTTCAGATCCGGGTTTGGGGCAGGGCTGGGCCCAGCAGAGCTCCCGGCGGGCTCAGCCCTAGGGGTGGGCAGTTATGCTGGAGAGTGGTTACCTCTATTGGCAAGCTAGGGGGGCAGGACCCATCCCCCAGACCACCCTGCTGCCCAGCCCACCGCCCACCCTGCCTAGACCCAGAGACTCAGCCCATCTGTTCACAGGAGAATTACCCCACTGCCCTGGGGCTTGTGGGGGCCTCTCAGGCTCAGCCCCCCTCCTGCTGCCCCTGTTGGGGCAGGCATCTCCCCCTCCCCCTTGGGCCTGGTCACCCCAGGGGGCCTGCTGGCCCACAGCACCCTCGTCTGGTTGCTGCCCTCCAATCGCCATGTGCCTGGGAGACTTTGCCCCAGAGAAGGAGGAGGTCTCTGAGTGTCCTCTCAGCAGATTCTCTTCTCTCTCCCTGTCCTGCACCCACTGCCCAGGACAGACCCAACAGTCCCTCCCAGAGGCTTCTGAGGGTCGGAGGGCAGCTCCTTTCTGGGTGGGGATGGGGACAATGCAGCCTGACTTGGGAGGGTGTCTGTGTCCGCAGCCCCCGGCCCTGCTCTGACCCCTTGGAAGGGTTTGGAAGGGCCTGTGGGGGGCCACTGTGAGGCAGCAGGGAGCCGAGGGCCAGAAAAAGGGCCCGTGGTGGGGGGTGGCTGTGCAACCCTGGGTGGGCCCCCACCCTCTCTGGGCCTGGAGCTGGCCCCGCCAGGGCCCTCTCCTCGGACACCTGTCACAGCGGGGACTTTGTGCCTGCAGGAGAGCCTCCTGGAGTAGCGGCCAACGTGCAGCTGGTGCTCCCTGGGCTTCGCTGAAGGAGTGATCCTCACAGGGATGCTTGGCCGGCCGAGGGTGAAGGAGGTGGTCCGTCTCTGTCTGGCTCACACCGCTGGGACTTTGTATAGGGACGGGGAGGCGGGTTCCAGCACGACCAGGCACAGACTTGGCCAGACCCCAACCCTCTGGCCTGCAGCCGGACACCCAGGGAGGCATCTTCAGACTTGAGCCGAGGCTGGGCCTGCACGTGACCGCAGCAGCCTCCCCCTACACACAGTCAGCCCAGCTTGAGGCCCTGGAATCCTGGCCAAGAGCAGCAGGAGGTCACCCGTGCCTCTTTGCAGAGTCTCCTAGTAGTGGGGGCACAGCTTCCAAGCTGCGGCTGCGGCCTGGGGAAGTCCGTGGAGGGCAGCCTACCTGATGCTCGGCCCCCAGGCTGCTCCAGGCTGGCTGTGCCACGGGTAGAGGTTCCTGGGATGGGCTGTGGGCGGCAGCTCCCCTGACAGGAGGGGCAGCCACCAGTGCTCAGACCTCGGGACCGCCAGGGGCGTCCCAGCAGAGACCGCAGCAGCCCCGGGCCTGGGGGAAGTGGGGCTGGGGGCCTAGGGTGGGACAGAGCCTGGCCGGCTGCTGAGTGATGGCGGCACTGCCCTTGGGGGGTGCAGGGGGCTCCCTGCGAGATGGCTCCCGCTCAGCCCTCACGGCCAGGAAGGCGTTCAGGTCGAGGTCCAGCAGGGCCACCCCTCCCCGGGGTGTGGGTGTGCTCTGGCAGCACTGTGGGCAGGAGATCCAGCGCTGCTCACCCGCTGGAGTGTCCAGCCGCCGCACGCACGCCTGGCAGAAGGTATGGCCGCAGTAGAGACGGTGCGGCCGGTGGCCCTCGAGGTCATAGGCAGAGTAGCAGATGATGCAGTCACCCCGCCGGGACCCCGCGGCCATCCCCTCCGCAGACACCCGGGCCTGTCCGGCTGCATCCTGGGGGAGGCGTGCAGGGAGCTGCAGCCCACCGGCCTGCTACAGAGGCGGTCTTGCTCGCTTGGGGCCTGACGCCAGGACTTGGCTCCGGAGGATAGGAGCCCGGGGTTCCAGGCCGCCCCTCTCCCTAGCCTGCCTAAGCCCCAGGCCTCTCTTACCTGCATCCGCTCTATGGGCCAGCTCTGCCCAGCGGGAGGACGTCCAGGGACTGGGAGGGGACCCAGAGCTCCCTGCAGCTCCCGCCCTGGGGCTCGCATTACTGGCGGAGCACAGAGGAGTCAGCAGGGAGGCGGGTGGCGGCTGAAGGCCGGTGTGGGCTCCCCTTTCAGCCACAGACCACTTGCAACTGGATCCAGCAGCACCACCAACTCGGGGAGATAAGCTCCCCCCTCCGTGCCCGGATGTGGCTCCGTGGGTACCCCCCACGCCCAGCTTCCCAGCTCACCCTGGTCCCTCTCCCCACCTTGGCCAGCCTGCCCCACCTCCACACCACCCCGACTCTCATGGTCCCCAAGCCTGCTGGCCTTGACCTGGGGGATGCTGCTTTAACTCCCTGATCAAGCATCACCCCTTCCAGGTAACCTGCTGGGACCCTCAGCAGCTCAGAGCCCTGGGGGGTCCCATTCTCCCCCAGCTCAATCGCAGTGTGTGTCCACGCAAATCTGTCCCAGCACCTTTCTCCTGCCAGGTCTGGGTCTGTCGTGCCCCCATTACAGGGCCACAGTCAGCCCCCGAGGTCCACGGAGGTGCTGAGGCAGGGGTATGGAGAGCCCGACTCACACACCGTGGCTAGCCCTGGTCACCCCCATTAGAGGCCACCTCCCCACAGCCATCTGCCCGGCTATGGCTCCTGGGCCAGCACAGTCACCTTGATGGCGGGCATAGCAGAAAGGGGTGTGTCGAGATTGGTCAGGATGGGATCAGGACCCTCACTGCTCATCTGCAAGGAATCCAAGAACCTGAGGGGCTCCTCCTCGGTCCTACCGCCCTGGCAGTCCACAGCCTCCCTGACCGGTTCAGCAGGCTGCTGCGGCTGGCCTGGGTGGGGCCGTCCTCTGGTGGAGGCTGGCCACGGGGCAGGGGCCGGAAACCTGGCCCACCTGAGTGCCTGCATAGTCAGACCAATGACATAGCCACCCACACCCGGAGGCAGGTCTTGCCCTGTGGACAGTCACCCTGGGTCAGGGCTGGCACCGGGACCTGTCCATCCTGCAAGGCCAGCTCAGTTTCCTCCTCCACTGTCTCTGCCTGGCCCTGGACATGTCAATGTGCCCAGCGCAGGCCTTACCACTCAGTCCTTGCCCTGGCATCACAGCCTCACCTCAGCAGTGAGATGACCCAGCGCCAAGCAGCTGGTCTCACCCCGTTTCCCCCCAGGCCGGCATGTCGCGCTTCTCGGACAAATGGGAGATCAGACAGCTCCTTTCCTGCTCCCCTGGCTCAGGAGGTCCAGGCCCTGGAGGCAGGACAGCGGATGGGCAGCCGGCTTGGGTGACACACGGCAGGTGTTTACAGATTGGCCATTTCGTGAGGAACCAGAAAACCCCTGGGCTAAGGTAGGGCCATGACTCATGGATGGGCAGGCCCTGGCGCTGGCTGCCTGGGCTCCTACTCCCAGAAACCTGCCAGAGCCAAGCCCATCCGCCACGGTCCTGCCAACATGGTCCTCCTCCTGAAGGCCTCTCTCAGGGCCCCACCCCGGTTCCCCGTGTAGCATCCTCCTCCTCTCTGGTCCCCTGCCTGATCTGTCTCCCCGCCCTGGCCTCAGCCCTGGGGAACGCAAGACAGCTTGAACCCAGGCCTGGCTCCCATACCTCCAGTCCAGTCTCTGGACAGACCCAAGACCTACAGCTCAGGGTGGCTTCCCCATCGCTGAAGGCCCCACAGAGGCTGAGGCCAGTGCCGGCATCAAGTGCAGGACCCTCTCCCAGGTGCAGCAGTAAAGAGCCACCAGAGCAAGGCTCACTCTGCTTTATTGCTTGGGCCGTGGGGCTCGAGGGAGGTGGTCAAGGGTGTCCCCGGGGCTGCCCTCGCCGCAGGGGCCCAGGCTCTCCAGCAAGGGGCTAGAGCTGGGCGGTCGGCCCGCTCAGCAGGTAGCTGCTCCCATCTGGGGTGGGAAGTGGCCAATGTCCATGACAGTGGTCTGGTGGCTGCCCAAGCCACAGTGGGAGTCCCACCACAGGCCCCACGGCCACGCAAGTGCTGGGCTAGGAAACGACGCAGCAGCAGCTGTGGCAGCGGCAGAAGCGAGGGCAGTGGCAGCAGGGGCAGCAGGGACAGCAGCAGCAGTGGTGGGCGATGTCGTCACCGCGCCCGATGGGTGGCCGTCCGGTGTAGGTCAGTCCTGCCGGACGCTGCCCACCACTGTAGGGGTTGCTGGACTGTGGCCAGGCCTGGTGGCCCTGGATCTGGCCAGCCCCCTTGGTCCCCTTGCCACCTTTGCTCTCTAGGGCCTCCTCGGTGGGCTGCAGGAGCCGGGTGGGCTCTGAGGGGCAGGACCCCGCAGGCAGAGGCTGCGACCCCCAGGAAGAGGAAGCCGCTTCCAGCTGCTGCCCCAGGTCGGGCCGCAGGTGAGCTCGGGGGATGCTGACCTGGGCATACGGGTTCTTGACGACCATCTCGTGTGGGTCCATGGCCCAGTCTGGCAGGGGCAGGCAGAGGAGACAAGATTGGCTCTGGGGAGGGAGACAGCCGCAGCCCGAGAGAGTGCCCACCCCTCGGAAAAGCCAGGCTGGGGAGATGCCAGAGTGCACCAGGCCTGGGTATTAGTGTGCCCATGTGTGGGGGTGAGCAGAGTGTGAGGGCCAGCGTCTCCCAGCTGTCCCCCATCCCGTAATGGGGCTGCAGATGGGCTGGGGGGGCTGAGAGAGGCCGTCTAGGCCGTGCCCATGGCTGAGCCCCAGTACAGGGAAGCCCCTGGGCCCAGGACCCACCTGAGGTGGTGACAGCAGCAGTCTACCCTCTCGTCCTGTGGGTCAGGTCCAGTGCCTATGAGGTAAGCCACTGGCAGCTAGCTGCCTTTTCCCTCCTGGGGAGGGGCGGAGCCACGGGTGGAGCTCAAAGATGGGGTTCCCAGGATCCCAGGAGGCCCCGGCTCAGCCGGCACACCACCCTTCCTCCTGTGGTGGGTGGTGGCCCCCGCCGGGGCTCCAAGGGGCACTGACAGGCTTGGTGACTCAGCCTCCACGCATCTGGGGCACGTCCTCAGCCCTCCAAAGACCCGAAGCTCCCCAGGAAGGAGGACTGGAGGTTAGCCTGACATCAGCCTCAGCTCCCAGGCCTGCTGGCAGTCTGGGGAACCCCAGCCATCACTCACACACCTCAAAGCCCCTGCTTTAAGGCAGAGGACGGAGCCTCTTCAAGCCAAGCCTCTTCTTGGCATACAGAGACCAAGGTGTCTGAGACCACAGACTGCTTGAGGGTTTGTGTTTTTTAAGCTATAAAAAAGGTTTGATTTACACACCTTGGCTACGACTATTCTTAAAATTGGCAACAACAGGGGCTTCATTGGCAAGTGATGCTTCTGGCTCATTTCTTATGTATGTACGTATGTATGTATTTATTTATTTAAGAGAGAGAACGGATGAACAGGGAGAAAGGGAAGAGGGAGAAGTGGATTACTTGCTGAGCAGGGAGTCTGATGTGGGGCTTGATCCCAAGACCCTGAGACCAGGACCTGAGCTGAAGGCGCACTCTTCACCGACTGAGCGACCCAGGTGTCCCTTCTGGCTCATTTCTGGAACTGCAGTTTCCCGTGGGGATCGAGAGCTCCCCGCCCCACCTGCGTCTCCATCCTTGGAACGCATTCCTCCTCCTACCTTCCTCTGTGAGGTGGCAAGGGTCGCCGTGTTGGGGTGACAGCGGATGTGAGCGTTTGGGTCTGGGCCTGGAACTGGTGATCTTCCCCCAGAGCGATGTGGGCAGCAGGGTGGGGCCAGGACCCGCACCTCCAGTCTTGGTGCGCAAGGGAACCCCAAGTAAGGGCGGGATCAAATCAGACGTGGCTCAGAGGCCAGGGTGACCGGGGTGGCCTGCGTAAGGCCAGTCAGACCGATCCGCACACGAGTTCTACCGATGTGGCCCGGGGAGAGTAGGGAAGTCGGTTCGCGGCCGGGGAACTCCCCAGGTGTAGGACAGACGCTCATTGCGCAGGCTCAATAAGCCCCGCCCACTGCCCCTACAAGACTCCGCCCCTTGCTGCGAGGCGGAGGCTGGCGCATGCGCGCAACAGGCCCGGGGCTGCCGGTGAGAACTTTATTCCCCAGAAGCCTCCGCGCTCAAAGGTTTCTCTAAAGACCCGGTTCGGCGTCTGCTGGCCGTGGACCGCCCAGAACTCAACCTGGGCTGCCCAGCTCTGTCCCGCGGGCGCGGACTTGGGTGGGCTCGGGGAGGTGGGCCTGCACGGGGCGGGACCTCACGTCCAGGGGCGGGGCCTCGGGGCAAGGGGTGGGGCCCTGTGGCCGGTGCCTCCTTGGGTGCGCGCCCAGAGGGTCGCTGGGAAGTGGAGAAGTGGGGGCCGAGGCTCGCCTCCACGCACCGCCCTGGCCGGGGCTCTTCCAGTTGCCCCAGCTTCACGCCAGGGCCGGGAAGGCCCTCGCTGCCCGCCTTGCCGGCCGCCTGCACACACCCCACAGCCCCTCTCCCTAAATGGCTTTGGGAACTGAGATCCGCGGACACTAGGCTGAGGTCGCACAGAGCTGCAAAGTCCCCTAAGGCCCGGGTTCGCTCCTCCAGGCTGCTTTGCCCGCGTGGGCTTCCTCACCAGGAGCAGCGGCCTCTCTGGGCTCGGCTGCCCTGAAGGACCCCTGAGCAAGGCCTCCAGCCAGGTGTAGTGGGGCCAGTACAGAGGAGAGGGGCTGATACTGTACAGGGTCAGGCACAGGGCCCAGTGCTGGTCACGGGAATGCTGGCACGCCGTGTGGTAGCTGGAGCAGGTCAGGGGGTGGCACTGTGGACCCCCCCCCCGGCAAGCTGTGGTCCCCTGCCCGGTGGTTGTCACCATGTTCTCTGCTTTGTCTTTCACCTGAGGGCTCCCGCAGAGGCTACACCCCAGGGAGTTAGGGAGCCTGGCTTGAGGAGGAAGCGGAAAGGAAAGGGGCCTCCGTGCTGGGTGGGGTCCAGATAGCACAAGTATGTGACAGCAGGGCACGTGCTGACTTGATGGGATGCCAGAAAGGGCCACCCCACCTTGGGTGCGTGTCCCCAGCGGGCTGCCCCACTGGCCTGTCCAGTTGTCCTTCTGACCTTCTGCATACCCCTCACCCCACCTGCCTGTCCAGCATTCCAGTCCTCGGAGCCCGCCCCCAACTACCGTCCAGCCTCTCCACCCACTCCTCGGATATCTTGCTCACCCTCGTTCACGGTCACGCCGTCCCTGTCCCCGTTGAGCACAACCTGGGTGCACTTGTGAGCCAGGGGCATGAGCACTGGGGACAGAGTGGAAGGACAAGCAGAGACCCTGACTCGGGGGGCTGCAGGGGGGTGACACATGGCTGTCTCCGGGTGGGGCCCTGGGAACCAGCTTTCCTGAGACCCCTCTCCACTCCTCTTGCCTTCCTCTCTCTGGCATTGTGAGGCCCCAGGCTTCGAAAAACAGGGTTTCCCTTCTAGAACTGGAGGAGGGGATACTTGACTAGGACCCAGGGTCCGCCAGACAGGACTCGGGCTGAGGGGATACTGGAAAGGGCGACGCGGGGGTCCTGATCCACACGCGGCTCGCTGGGGCGGGAACCCCGGAGCGGGCGCCAGGCCCGCGGCGATGGAGGGGCGGCTGAGCGACTGGCCCCGCCCCGCGGACCCCGCGCGGGTCCCCAGACGGGGGGTGGCGCTGCGGGCGCGGGCGGGCGCCGCGCGCACTGCGGTCCCCGCGCCTCCGCCGCAGAGCGCGCCACGCTCCGCACGCACCTGCCGCCGCGCCGCGCTGCCCGGAGCCCCGCGCCCCGCGCCCCTGGGAGCCGCCGGCCGCGCCATCGCCCGAGGTCGCCGCCGGAGCCGCTGGAGCCGCCGGCCGAGGAGCGGGCGTCGCATCCGGGCCTGCCTTTGAGCCAACCTCTGCGGCGGCGGCGCGCGGCCCGGGGACGCCAGGCTGGGGCAGGTGAGCTCGGGCGGGGCGGGACGGCCGCGGGGTCGCGCGACTCGCCTTCCCTTCCCACCGGGAAAGGGGTTGGGCCTTGAGGGCGGGGGCTGGGAGGGGGCTGGGTCCCGAGTCCAGCGAGGGTCAGGGTCAGAGGTCGGGCGCCCTGTCTTTTGTGCAGGGTGAGGGTGGGCCCGGGCGCTGCCCTCACGCTGTCTTTCACCTGCAGCTCGGGCCTGGGCCAGGCTTCTCCTCTGCTACCGCCGCTGCGCAGCCCGTGGCCTGGGGCCTCCCGCAGCCAGGGCTCCAGCTAGCTGCCTTCCCTGGGAGCCCTGTCCTGGAGGCGTGGGGCCCACCTAGCCCCTGCCTGCCCGGATGTCCCTGCTCAGGGACTGCTGACCTCGGCTGCAGGGGGAGCTCCCCCCACGCCCCCTCGCCAGCCTCAGCAGCCAGAGACCCTGGGTGAGCCCCTGGGCCAGATCCGCAGCCCAGGGCAGCCTCCCATACCCCCCTGCCCCCGCCTCCCTCCTCCTCCCCCACCCCTTCCTCCTCCTCCTAGGGCTGGACCCGAGAAGCCACTGTGGCCACTGGGGGGGGCCCTGCCCCCCCAGCTCTCGCCGGCCGCCCCCAGGAGCCCTCGGGGCGGCCGGGGTCCCTACCAGGCCTGGCGGGACCAGGATGCTGCTCCCTCTCCTCCCCCCCGGCCTCACCCAACACCCCCACCCACCCGAACACCCAGTCTGACTGGAGACAGCCGGATGCCGGTTGACCCTGGGCCCGAAGTGGGCAGTGGCTGGCCAGGCCTCCTCATGTCCTGCCTGAAGGGTCCCCATGTCATCCTCAAGATGGAGGCCATGAAGATTGTTCACCCCGAGAAGTTCCCCGAGCTGCAGGCGGCCGCCCCTTGCTTCCCACCTGCACCGCGGCCCACCCCCGCTCTGGCCCCCAAACGGGCCTGGCCCTCAGACACAGAGATCATCGTCAACCAGGCCTGTGGGGGGGACATGCCTGCCTTGGATGGGGCACCCCGCACCCCTCCCTTGCCACGACGGCCCCGCAAGGGCAGTGTGGAGTTGGGCTTCCCCCGCGTGGCGCCCGCGGACGAGGTAATCGTGAATCAATACGTGATACGGCCTGGGCCTGCCTCCTCGGGGCCCCCCGCCACGGCGGCGCCAGCTTCGGGGGAGCCCCTGGAGTGCCCCACCTGCGGGCACACGTACAACGTCACCCAGCGGCGACCCCGAGTGCTGTCCTGCCTGCACTCCGTGTGCGAGCAGTGTCTGCAGATCCTCTATGAGTCCTGTCCCAAGTACAAGTTCATCTCCTGCCCCACCTGCCGCCGCGAGACTGTGCTCTTCACGGACTACGGCCTGGCCGCGCTCGCTGTCAACACGTCCATCCTGAGCCGCCTGCCACCCGAGGCACTGACCGCCCCGTCCGGGGGCCAGTGGGGGGGTGAGCCGGAGGGCAGCTGCTACCAGACCTTCCGGCAGTACTGTGGGGCCGCGTGCACCTGCCACGTGCGGAACCCACTGTCCGCCTGCTCCATCATGTAGCCAGAGCCCCCCGTGCCCTGGCCTTCCAGCCCGTGCTCGCCGCTTCTCCAGGGATCCGGCCCCGCCCTGTCGCCTGTTGACCCCTCGCCCACCACAGCTTCTGGCCCCTCCCTGTGTGGCATTGTCGCCGCAGCCAGCTCTGCCATTAAAACTCTTTGCCAAAGTTTGTACCTCGTTCCCTGAAGCCTGATCTTGCGGCCAGGGCCCAGGGTACGGCCCGTACAGGGTCCCGCCTGGAGCCGCCAGAGGGAGGCCCAGTGCCGCTTGGGGTCAGCCTGTTCTGCTTGCGGGGGCCAGGCTGGGCCAGGTGTGTGTGGGCCGGGCCGGGTTGTGTGTGTGCGTGTGCACGCGCCTGTGCAAATGTCCCACATGTCTGTGCAGGGCCAGCCTGCCTCCTGTGTGAGGGCACAGGGTGGCTGTGTCTTCTGCACTGGCCCTGGACGTGCGGGCAGCTGGATGGCGGGCACCTCAGTCCGTCAGGCTCCTGGCATGCACCAGACCCTCTGAAGTTGGGTGGGAATGGCCTTGGCGGCTCTCTGAGGTGGGGTGAAGACAGAAGCTGGCCAAGACGGTGGTGGGGTAGGAGGACCCAGGCCCTCGATCCTGTACTCCACTACCTGACTCTGGGAAGGAAGCTTTGTGGTGGGAGGGAAGGAGGGAAGGGCTGGGGAGACCAGCGGGGGCTGAAGAAGGGATAGAGGCGGTAAGAACCCGGCGGCCAGGCCTCGGTCGCAGGGGCTGTGTACTGAGAGCCGTTTCTCGTGCTGGGCAGAGCACTCAGCGCGTCACCCATGACCCTGGGCGGTCGTGCTGATTGTGTCTGTCCTTTAGATAAAGGCCCCAAGCTCAATGATAGGAGGTTACGGGGCACTCAGGGGCCTCAAGTCAGTGCCGTCTGGCCCCAAGGCCTAGTCGTTCAGGGATGCATGCCCGACGCCCAGCGGCTCCCGCCAGCCCCTTGGGTCCTGACCCAGTGAGCGAGGAAGCGGTTTGTGGCCTGAGCTGGCACAGCAAGCACCCCACCCCTCTGCTGCCCTGCCCTTCAGGGGATACACACTGGCTCTTATCTGGAACACAAGGTGGGGGCCCCGCAGCCCCCCCCCCAGGGCCCCACCCTTGCCAAGGAGTCCGCTCACTACCAGCCTTCTGGGTTCACTTTCGTGTCCGCCGTGTCCCTCTTGCAGATGGGCCGGGTGGGGCAGGGAGAAGCGGTGAAGACTGTGCTGTCGGTATGGGGCCTGGCCACAGGCCTCCTACAGCACTGCCCGTGGGCACCGGTAGTCCGCGGCAGGCGGCAGGGTCGTCGGAAGTCTCTGGCTCCTGGGTGGCCTGGCCCCAGACCTGGGTCTGGATGGAGGCCAGTCTCGGCTGTTCAGTTCGGTCATCAGGCCTCAGGGCCAGCCTGGGTCTCCTGGTCCGGCGGCAGCCAGGATCGTCTGAGGCCCCAGTGGAGCCGGTCGCAGGCGTGGGAGGCCCCGCTCAGCGGCCGGAACGGTCTAGCAGCATGAAGAGCAGCCCCAGCAGCATGAGTGGCGTGAAGACCAGCAACAGGCCCAGCAGCTCCAGGGCCAGCAGGCCCGACAGAGCAAGGCGGCGGGGACAAGGCCCTCGTTCCCGCAAGGCCCAGAGCCGTGCACCCAGGCAGGGCGGGCACGGTAGGAAGGGCAGGCAGCCCTGGCCGCCCACGGGCCCTGCCAGGAAGCGCAGCTGGTAGCGGTGCTCTAGGGAGGCCCAGGGCCCGGGGCCCCAGGGCGGGGGAGGAGCGGGGGGCGCAGGGGGTGGGGGGCCCTGGGGCCCATCTGCCTGCAACAGCTCCTCCTGCAGCTGGCAGATCTCCCACTCAAGCATGGGCGTCTTCTGGCGACACAGCGGGCAGCATACCTGGCCCAGGCTGGCGCTGGGGGCTGTGCCCAGCAACTGGTGCAGGCAGCCCACGCACAGGCCGTGGCCACAGTTCAGCAGGGCCAGGCGGTGCTCCCCGGGCCCGTAGGACTCTGTGCAGATGGGGCACTCCTCCTCCCCCGACTCTCCCGCCTGCCCCTCGCCATCCTCCTCCTTTGACTGCCCAGCCCAGGGGCAGGCTGCAGCTCTGGCCCCCAGCAGGGGCTCACTGTCTAGAGCCCCAGGACCCCGGGGGTTCCTAAGAACCCTGCCGTCCAACTCTTCGTCTGCCAACACTTGGCGTGGGGGGGCTAGGCATTCAGAGCCGAGAGAGGCTGAAGGCAGACCGCTGAGTCCAAAGCTAAGGTCACAGGGGCCATGAATGGGGGCCCTGGGGCAGGAGTCCGGATGGGTGGGTGGGGTTCCCAGGGTGGCAGCCAGGGTGGTTGGGGCTGTGAAGGTCAGCGTGGGCCTCTGGACACGGGCAGGGTCTGGCACTGACCTCAAAGCAGCCGCAGCCTAGTCCCTGCGCTGGGCTCCTTGCCCCACCCTGGAAAGTCACCGGCGCTTGGGCCCCAGCACTTGTCCCAGGCTCCGGACAGGACAGCTCTTGGGCCCACGGGTGCTATCTTCTCCGGATCTGCCCCGGCCCAGACGTGGCCACCGCCCACCCCTGTGTTCACAGCTGACGGACAGACACACAGACTCCAGGGAGCAGGTCTGTAAGTAGACCAGCCAGCCTGACTCCTCCTACAGGAATTCCCCTGGGGATCCCGAAGGCCCCTCCCAGGGGTGGGGACCATGGCTGCCCCGCCCCCACCTTCCCTCCCCCAGCCAGGACTGCTACGCCCCAGGCAGGGAGGGAATGGACAGTACCCACCCTTCCTTCCAGGGCTGCCTAAGGCTGCCCTGGGCTTGACAGAAAGAGAGCAGAGCTGTACAAAGTGGGCAAACAGCCAGCGCGCATCACAGCAGAATCAGACCCCTAAGTGTTGGAGCAAAGATGGCAGAGCAATGGTGCGCAGTGCCCACCATGGACAGCCGTCCCACCCAGACCCACTGCGGGCCCCCAGGTCACAGGAGCTGCTCCATCCAGACCCACTGGGGGCCCCCAGTGCCACCCCCCTCACCAAGGTACCAAGACAGTCAGAAGGAAGAGCATGTCAGAAACAGCCCACCAGAGCCCACGATATTTTTACTGAGCCTTTCCAGGACTGGGGCGGGGAAAGTCTGACTGGCTGGGGGCCTCCTCCCTCTGCTCTGACCCTCACTGACTTCCAGCCTGGCCAGAGCCCTGTGAGGCCCTGAGGTGGCACCAGGTGCTTGGTGGCAGAGGGTAGCTGGGAGCCCACTGTCCCCTAGGGCAAAGGGGGGTGGCATGTGGCACTCCCAGAGACCCTGCACCACCTCAGAAGGCTCCCTGGGGTTCCCCAGCCCCCAGGTTCCTGTGTCGTCTGGGGAGCCCCGATGCCTGTCAGGCTGCCCGCTCCTTCCTGAGGCACCATCCCTATGCAGGGTGGCACAGTCCACAGACCACCCTGACCAGGACCCATGTTGGGGCCAGTGGGAAAAGGCCGGCAGGAGCCCGGAACCCTGGATGGGGACATTGTGGGGTGCCGCATGGGCAGTGGTGTCGGGGCTGAGGACAGATGGTCTGGGTGGACCAGAGCGAGGCGGTGCAGGGGACGGGGCGGGGGGGAGAGGGAGGCAGAGAGGATGGCGGCCTCCCAGAGGGCAGTGGCTAGAGGAGCCCAGGCCAGCAAGATGGCTCCTCAGGCCCAAGTCTCACTCTGGAAACGCAGTGTCCGCTGGAGCCTGGCCAGGTAGGCAGCTGCATCAGGGCTGGAGAGCCCGCCCTCCTCCCGGAAGACAGACGTCAGTGCTTCCGACACATCTGCGGGCATGCACTTGGCATTGCTGAAGGGACAGTCCAGGAGGGCTCAGTGCGGCTGGGACCCCCTGGAAGGGCTGGCCGCCATCCCCACCCAGCGGCCCAGGCTCACCCTGCCAAGTAGAAGTAGGCACCCCGGCGGTCCAGCAGCTCCCACACCAGCGGCCCGAGCTCCCGGAGCCGATGTTGCACATACACCTTCTGCTCCTACAGGGATGTGGCAGGGGGTGGGGGGTGAGACTGCATCGTGGCCCCCTCCCCGCCCCTCCAAGCACACCCACCTGCTCCCGGGAGAAGGCTGTGAAGAGCGTCAGGCAGCCCCTCTTCTCTAGGTCCAGCCACTCAGCCCCCCAGTAGAAGTCCTGGTGGCGTGAGCGGCAGCCGAAGAACAGAAAGTTTCCTGGGGGAACACAGGGTGGCCTCGAGGCTTGGCTCTGCAGGCCCCAGCCGCCGCCCTGCCCAAGATCCTGTGTGCTCACCATTCCGGCCCTGGGCCACGCGCTCCTGGACAGCTGCGCGGAAAGGGGCCACGCCAGTGCCAGGGCCCACCATGATTACGGGTGTATCTGGTGTCTCTGGGAAGGTCAGGCCCCCGGGCCGCACCCACAGCGGCACCTGGACAGGTCCTACCGCAGGAGAGAGGAGGCATGAAGGGGTGCCAAGGACCAGCGCCCTAGCCTGGGATTGGCCGTGCTGGACAGGGGAGAACGGAGGCCCCAGGCCCAGTCCTCTGTGCGCCCCTCCAGAAAGCAGGGGTCACCTTGCCCGGGATCCAGCGAGGCCAGCCACGAGGAGCAGAGGCCCCGGCGGTGCTCCTTGAGGCGTGTCCGGTACTGTACCACAGCCACGAGGATCTGCAGCCTGGACGGGTGAGCCTGGGGGATGGGACGGTGGCTGCCCGGCTCCACCGGGCTCTCCTGGCCTCCGTCCGCCCTGGCTTCAAGCTCTACCCACTCCCCCGAGGGCTGGGCCCAGATGTGGGGTAGACGTGGAGGAACGGGAGCCCCCCACTCCCCAATACACCTGCCTGTGGCCTACCCAGCATCCCTGAGGCCAGCTCTGGGCCCTGCCCCATGGGCCCTCACCAGCAGAGAGGAGGCGATAGAGAAGGCCCGCGGGCGGATCGGGGGGATGAGGTCCAGCAGGTAGTCTGCGGGGATGGCTCCCGCCGTGTGCGGGAAGTCGCACAGCACCTGGGCAGACATGGCCTCGGGTGGGCACGGCCGGCAAGGGCCTCGAGGTTGTGGCTCGGAGCCCTGGGCCCGCCCACCTGCCCACAGCTGCTCACACCTCCAGGATGGTCCTGCGAGGCCGGATGCAGTAGGCGTACAGCTCCTCCTGACCCTGGGGGGAGCTGAAGTACAGCAGCTTCTCCCGCTCCAGCTCGTGGGGAGAGAGACAAGCCAGGAGCTCGAAGAAGGAACGGCGGGGCACACTGGCAATGTCCAGGTAGTGTGACACAAGGTGCCTCACGGAGCAGGGCTGGGGCAGCCGTGCGGGGCAGGGCACACCTGCAGCGGGAGGGCAGGGGGAGGGCTGAGCGGGCCAGCGGACCCCAGCAGGGTAGGGAGAGCACGTGCCCACAGCTGGGCCCCCACTGGCCCCCGCACTTACCTGGCTCCTGAGGCAGCAGGGTGAAGGTCTGGTCTGGGTCCAGGCCCAGCACCTGGCAGAACTGCTGGGTGTGGCTGGCCGGGTTCTCGGGCAGGATCAGTACCACGTCGCCGGCTGCAAAGCTGTGTGGGAAAGCCTCTGGGAGAGTGGGCCGGGGTACGCAGGGCACCGGGGATACAGGGAGGGTGCTGGCAGAGGGGTCCTTGGGGGCAAGTGTCTCCCTCTGCCTGACCCGCACCCCCAGCCCCCCAGCCCCGGCCCTTGGCCACCGCCCATCTGGTGTCTCAGGCCCCTCACCTGAGCCCCGAGCCTGTGATGTCAAACTCGATCAGCCGAACATCCTGGAAGTGCGAGGGGCCGGTTACTCTCTGGTTGGTGACCATGGGTGCCAGGAAGGGCTGCTGCTCTGAAGGTGGACCTGGAGGGTCTGTGCTGGCCCCATGCTGCTCCTCAGAGCATATCCTGGGGGCCTCCGGGAGGAAGTGCAGGGTGAACTTGGGGGGCAAACTGTGGAGAGGGTACACACTGGTCAGGCTGTTGGCAGGGCCCAGGCTGCTCTGCTGCACCTGTCGGCCCACACTCACGGGACTCCGGCGGGGATCACACCAAGGTCAAGGGGCACGGGGTACAGTGCCAGCACCTTCTCCCACAGATCGTGCAGCCAGGGGTCGATGGCAGCATCAGGCCTGGAGAGAGAGCATGTGCGTGCTAGCCCGGGGACTCCTGCTCATGGCTGGGCCTGCAGGAAAGCGCCCCCCACCCCACTCACCCCAGCTCGTGCTGGTCATTGCCCAGGCACACGGGCAGGAGGGCGCGGCCCCCGAGCTGCAGCAGCCGCCGGTGTAACTTCTTGGCCACAAAATTGAACCTTTGGAGAGGGAGGGAGGCTTGGGCACACCCAGCCCAGGCCGCAGGGCAGTGAAGGGGAAGCAGCCCCAAATGAGCCCATGGGGCCTCATGGGCTGGGGAAGGCTATCGGCAGGAGGGGCTCCCCACCCCACCCACCCTTCAGCCTGTGTTTGCCACCGTGCACAAGTGTCTGCGTGAGGCACGGAACAAGACCCCCACCCAGCAGAGGACTGTCATGCTGCCGCAGCTTCCCGTCCCCCACCCAGCAGAGGACTGTCATGCTGCCACTGCTTCCCGTCCTCCTCGCCTGAGCCCTCCCAGCCCTGCAGCGGCTGCGTCTGGCTTTGCAGGCTGTGGCAGCCGGCACCCCGCACCTGGCACCCAGAGCCGGCACCCAGCCGGCCCTCCCTCAGCCCCTGCGCCGCACAGCTAGGGGTGCCCACGTCTCAGCGACCTGCCAACTCGCAAAGCCCTCGGCGCTGCCCTGAGAAGGAAAGCAGTAGTACTCTCTGCTTAGGACGTGGGTGTCCGGAAAACCCGAGAGGGAAAAAGGCCAAGGAGGCCACACCGTACCCAGGGAAGTAGTGCTACTGAGTGGCTCCCAGGGGCTGGGGGGTCTTTTGTGCCCCTCGCTTGTTCCCACTGCTCTCTGTGCTCTTTGTAAGTCCACGTATCTCCTGACTACGTGTTTTTCTAAGAGTGGGGAGTCAGTGGGCCTTTGCTGCCCTGGGTCCCATATCAACCTAGGATGCTACGCAGGTCCAGACATCACCCCCTGCCCCAGAAGACCCCCCTTTGCTGCCTGCCAGCTTCCAGTCTGCGCCCCGAGCACCCTTCAAAACCCAGATGCTCCCCGGTGGTCACTGCGGAAGCAGGACAGACAGCCTGGTCCCCGCCCGAGGTCCAGCGGGAGCCCTGGGGGCTGAGTCATCAGTCCCGGTACTGGGACACTTTGTGCTCGACCTGGAGGACAGTCCCTACAGGCCAGTGGCCCTCTTGCCCCTACTTACTTGGCATACGAGGAGTCCCCGAGGCCCAGGACAGCAAAGTCTGTCTGACAGAGGGAGGTCGGTGGCAGATTCTTCCGGAATATGAACCTCCAAAAATTCTGCAGCCAGAAGCCAACAAGTTAGAGGGTAGAGGCCCTGCTCTGAGCAACGGGGTCCCAGGGCCAGGTAGGGAGGCCGCCTCTTGGAGCCACCCTGTTCCTCTAGACCTTTGTTATTAAAACAACACCACTTTTTTATTCTATTGCGATGGGAGTGGGGGGGGGGAATTGGGAAAAAGCAGAAAAATCGCACAAAAGAAAGTTGCCCCAGGGGGCTTGGTTTCATCTCCAGTCTTGGTCCTGAGATAGAGCCCCAGGCTGGGCACCACACTGAGGACTACATGAGATTCACTCCCTCTGCCTCTCCCCTCCCTCTCTCAAATAAATAAATCTTTAAAAAAAAAACGATAGGGGGCGCCTGGGTAGCTCAGTGGGTTAAAGCCTCTGTCTTCGGCTCAGGTCATGATTCCAGGGTCCTGGGATCGAGCCCCGCATCGGGCTCTCTGCTCAGCGGGGAGCCTGCTTCCCCCTCTCTCTGCCTGCCTCTCTGCCTGCTTGTGATCTCTGTCAAATAAATAAATAAAATCTTAAAAAAAAAAGATAAACAAAAAAACAGCAAGTGAGCTGCCCCAGAGCCACCACCAGAACGTGGAGCTCCGCCCCATCAGGGCAGAGGGCCCCTGGGGAAAAGGCTCCTGAGGTCCACCCCAGGAAGGCCACAGCTTTTTCCCACCGCTCTCCCCAGGTGGGGGAAGCACCCGCCTCTGCTTGGGTCTCCCCCGCGGGTGGCTTACTCCTTCACACTACAGTCCTGTGTCCTGGACGCCCCTCCACCCCCAGCTCTGAAGCTCAGGCCGCCACAGGCACCCCTCTGGACCGAGATGTCAGGCCCTGCAGCCCGTCAGTGGTCAGTGGAAGGGGAAGTTTCTCTCCTTTGGAGTCTGCTCCTGGCCCCGAGCCCCCATCAGTGTGCTTCACACTCACTGCCACCCCGATGGCTCCCCACCTAACTCGCTGTGCTGGCCAAGGACCCAGAGCTGTCTCCATCCCTGGGCACCCTCATCTCCATGCATCTGCCCATCCCAGCAGCCTTACACCCAGACCCCCAAGGTCAGAGCCCAGTGCCTCTCCTTCCTGCCTGGGGTCCTCAT